TGAAAGGAACAAACCTGTCGGGACGACAGAGCTTCATTATTCTCATTCTACGTGACTTTACCGAAAGAACCAAAGAAGATGAATCCTTGCAGTCACGAAAGCTTTAAATCGAAATTTAGCCTCAGGGTTGTTGCGGAATGTCCGCATTGGCGGGCGGGCGTGGCACGTACTTGTGGTCAATCGTGGCAATCGGAGTGGCGTGGAAGGACAACAAACTGACCACAAACATCGTTACGAACGAAATGAGTTTGTCAATCTCGATGATGATGATTTAAAAGCAGTGCGGGATTATCATAGTAGGAAGAGTAGCAAATGCTACGGGCCCCGCACTTTCAAGGGCCCCGCGTTAAATGCTTTCAAGCTATCAATTCCGGCTCAGTGATTCTGCACTTGCTCTATTACTATAGTACTATACCGCCTTCAACTTTTATGAACTCCCGGGTGTTTGAGGTTAACGATTTGTCGTATTATCTGGCTGTATAGCAAATGAAAAAATACAATTACTTTACTGTGCAAGTTAAACATTTATGTTTTCATATTTATGTTTTTTTTTTTATTAGGGCCCCTTTATAACATCATGGTAGAGGCCCCGCACTAGCTTCATCTGGCACTGTTTGAAAGTGCATAAACTCTCAGTGGCTTCCTGATATCGGAATGGAAGAGCGTGCCAGACGGCTGCGGGAAGCGCACGTTTGAAAGGACGCGATGATGCGGTGACCCAAGTCTTTGTTCGATGGCTTAGCCAAAATCCGCTGTTACGAGAATGCCCGGAGTTTGACTGATGTCGGTTTATGCTCCTGGACGAGATCAGCAAAGGTATTGTGGTTCATTTGTGGCAAGCGCTTTGTGTGTAATGAGCGCGACCTTCTAACGTATTGCTTCGGACGCTATCCGGGGCGGGCGGGGGGGGGGCGGACAGACTCTACGGACAACTGATCTTGGTACCGAGGCAGATTTCGCGCTTGCTGCTGGGTTCATCAGCCACCGTCGCTTAGCTTGCGCGCAAGCCGCGCGGACGCGAATTCGCATGCACGCCGCGTGGCAGCAGCAGTAGCAGCAGTATCAGCAGCAGTAGCAGCAGTATCAGCAGCAGTAGCAGCAGTATCAGCAGCAGTATCAGCAGCAGCAGTAGTGGCGGCGGCACCGTGCCCGTCACTCCACCTCGCAGAGTCGATTCGCTTCGCACGACACACACGGATACAAGGACCCCCCCCCCCCCCGGATCGCCTTCCACAGACTGTTGGGGGGGTATGGGCAAGGTTGCTGCTGTTGGCGAGCAACCGACGAAGGCCGTGGCACGGCACACGAACGGGGGTGGGTGGCCAGCGTCACGCACGGGAGCCTTTACCTCCACAGTGGCGATGTTTACACACCGCACCAAGGGCATAACTCATTTGAGGCTGAGTCGACCTGTGGCAGGTCCAGGACCGGTGCAGGTATAAAATCGTCACATGTGTTGGCCCCGAGTAGGAATCGAACTCAGGTCGCGCAGGCAAAGGCGCGGACCTGCAATTGCTGTGCTTACGCGTCCGCTAGATGGAGCTCTAAGAGCAGTGGCTCCCACGCTTTCTGAAACCCGCGGAATCGCTTCCCAGTGAACATGCCGACGTTGGGCCAACGTCGGCATGTGGTTGGAACCCTTGGGCGAACGTTGGGCCAACGTCTGCATGTGGTTGGAACGGGGGAGGGGGCGGTATTTAAGAAACCTGCGGCATTGTTTCAACTGCCGCGCCCAGAGATCGAATCAAAGTCATGACGTCAACCTTTACACCACGGCCTGGTGCGGTCGAGCGTGGTCGACTGCTTCCCTTCGCCACTTCCAAGACGTCTTCTGAAAACGTTCGGAAGAGTAGACCAAGCACCTTCCTCCACAGCTGCCTGATGCTGGTGCGTCAGGGCATCGTACGCCTCCTTTCAGCTCTCGCATCGCCTGAACTTTTAGTTTCCATCTCGACGACTGCTCCCACGTTCCCTATGCAGTACCACACCGGTTCCCTGTGCAGCGCCACCCCCGTGCAGCGCCACCCCCGTGCAGCGCCACCCCCGTGCAGCGCCACCCCCGTGCAGCACCACCCCCGTGCAGCACCACCCCCGTGCAGCGCCACCCCTGTGCAGCACCACCCCTGTGCAGCGCCACCCCTGTGCAGTGCAACCCCTGTGCAGCACCACCCCCGTGCAGCGCCACCCCCGTGCAGCGCCACCCCCGTGCAGCGCCACCCCCGTGCAGCGCCACCCCTGTGCAGTACCACCCCTATGCAGCACCACCCCTGTGCAGCACCACCCCGGTGCAGTACCGGTGGGGTTACTGCAAGGCCGTAGTCTTGGAGCCAACATTTGGCGGGACCAAATCTTCCAGGGAGTATGGGGGTCCCCCACCCCCCTCAGAAAGAAAATCTAAATTTGAAAACTCATTTCCTGCCATTTCTTGCCTAAATATTTTTAAAAAAATTCACTAACACTTGGGATTAACTTTTTTTTTACAATAATGTCTGAGAGTGTATTGTATTTATTACATTGCTCTGTTTTTACTTTGTTTTACTTTTTCTTATTTCATTGTATGTAATGGCAGAGATTAGGGATTAACAAAGTACAGCCGTAACCACAATCATATAAACAGGAATCTATTTTATACCAATATATTGTGGGGGGGGGGGCATTTTGAGCATTGTTGGGGGGATGTGTCCCCCTCAATATCTATTATAATTACGGCCTTGGGTTACTGGGAGGTAGGGGGGTAGGAGCGGGCTGGGGTAGTGCATAGGGGTTGTCACAGGACGGTACCGGTACAACCCGCGCACGGCCGGATCACCGCGGCGGAATGAATCCTCGAGTCGCATGTCGCGCGTGCCATACAATATCACCGAGTCTTCAACGTCGCTGGTTAGGTTCGTTTCCGCTTAACAAACCCCCCCCCCCCCACCACCGCAACCCGCTTGACTTGTTCTGGAAGGTTCTGCGACTAAGATGTAGAACCAGTTCCGTGGCTTTTTTTAAATATATGTATGATATATATGTATACAGTAGAGCTGGGCGTAGCGAGAGAGCGAGCGGAAATTGGAGCACCTGAGAAAACAAACCATCGACAGCTCACGCATCCGAGACCTGGAAATAGACAAATGGGCGATGTACAGGAAGCCACTTTCTTATCCCGCTCTACTTCGATGCGTCCACACTGACCGGCGTGGTGAAGTACGGCCAAATAACCCCCACGATCTGCCAAACAGCGTGTGTGTGCACGTACACGCGTACACACGTGCACGCACACGCGTACACACGTGCACGCACACGCGTACACACGTGCACGCACACGCGTACACACGTGCACGCACACGCGTACACACGTGCACGCACACGCGTACACACGTGCACGCACACGCGTACACACGTGCACGCACACGCGTACACACGTGCACGCACACGCGTACACAGTGCACCCTCCCCCCCCCCCGTGTGGCTGATGGAATGTGTAAAAAAAAAAACACAAACTTGTCGTTGTCTGAATCAGGGGCAGATAAGTGAAGGAGGGGTGAATGTACGGAGTTGCGTATCGCCCCCTTCTTTTATTTAAGCAAACGGCCACACACAAACGGGGTTCGCCACATTCTGCTGAATTCGCCGGATTTTGCTCTTGGCGAGAGCACTCCTCGCCACGTTTCCTCGGGCACCCCTTCAACCAACCAGAGCAACGCCCTCACGCAGTGTAACACGTGGTAGGAGGCTTTCGCGAGCAATAGCATCCATTAAAAAAAATGTGTCGTTAAACCCGCCACCACCCGACATAGCCATGTAGTAAGGGTTGTCACGTAAGCAGAACGTGCCAATTCGTCACTGGTACAGCACACCGGCGTGTTGGAGAGAAAAAGCCGCAACATTTACAATCTGAGTACGACGTTTCGCCAGTAATTACTTGCGACAGCCAGTAATTATAACTGGTTATCGCCTGATGAAGCTGGTTGTAATTGCTGGCGAAACGTCGTACTCAGATTGTAAATGTTGTGGCTTTGCTCTCCAACACACCGGTGTGCTGTATTAGTAACGAATTGGCACCTTCTGTTTACGCGACAACCCTTACTATTCATAATAAAGGTTTTTGGGTTAGATCGCGTTACTTATAAATGTGTCGTAACCCTCCACCACCCGACACGGCCAATCAGCAAAAAGTGTCACGTTGACAAAAGACAATTAGTTCACTACTTTAGCCCACCGGTGTGTTTGTAAATGTTGTAAATGTTGTGGATTCACTCTTCAACACACCGGTGGGCTAAAGTAATTAACTAATTGTCTTTTGTCAACGTGACACATTTTTTGCTGATTGGCCATGTCGGGTGGTGGAGGGTTACGACACATTTATAAATAACGCGATCTAACCCAAAAACCTTTATTATGAATAATATTGGTCGCGAAAGCCTACGTGTTAAACCACCCCTTACTAATTGGCTGTGGCGGGTGGTGGCGGGTTTAACGACACACTTATATATTTATACGCGATCTAACTTTAAAAAAACGCCCTCGCACGCATTCACATTGAGGATTAAACACGCGGCCTCTGGCTGGGCCGTCGACCGAAGACGCCACCACCGCATCGCGCGGCTCTTTCAGCCGCGCTTCTGCGGCCGTCTGGAACGCTCTTCCTTCCGCTGTTAGGACGCCTCTGGGAGCTATGATGCACTTTTAAATCATCATCTAGACTGACAAACTCGCGTATTTAGAACTGCTCTTTGTGTGTGCTTCGGTGTTGGTGTCCTTCGCCCCGCACCTCCGACTAGCACGGTTGGCTGCGTACGGTGCGAAAGAAGTTCAACATACTTTGCGGGCGCGGTAGCGATTCCTCGCTTGCACCAGCACGCACGCCTCCGATCGACACCTCTCCACTCTCTTTGCCTCGTCTCTGTAACCAGATCCAGCCCTATTCAAACCCAACCCTCTCCATCTCGGCCTCTCTCCCAACCAAACTCCGCCCAACCGCTGCTCACGCGTACCCTGCCTCTTCCCTTCACCCCGTCCCCCCTCGTCTCTCCGCCTCTCACTCCCTCTCTCTCCCCACACACACTGGGTTGGCTGTTTCCATCTCGCTGTGCGTGTTGTGTGTGGCTCGGAGCAGCAGGGGAGGGAGGCGGCGTTGGTGGTGGTGGCTGTGTGCGTTTGTAACCGGTTCATCGGACACGACTCCACACAGAAGTTCGAGTTGATCGGGAAGAGTTGGTGCCCATCACCCGCATCTGCTTCACCTCTGGGTCCCTCCCTCCACATTCCGCTTCTTCTCTGAGCCTGTGGCCAACCATCTCGGCAGCGACACCGGGTAAGAGCCGTAAAAACAACAACAACAACAACAACGTCGTCGTCATCGTGAGAAATCTGATGCGGTGTTTTTTTTTTAGTTTGTGTTTGGTAGCAAAAAAAATATATCAATGTTGATACAAAATATTAATCTCTCGCTGGTAATTTAACGAGACTGGCTGCCCGCACATTCCACCCACCTCTGAGCTCCCATTGTGAGCTCCCACTGTTAAACAGGAAGCGATACACACGCAAACCCCACATTTTAATAACTCACATTGAAAGAATTCTAACAGATGCAACCCGTGCGTGTGCGCGTGTGCGCGTGAACGTGTGGGAGAGCGGAAGCTTAGCGGTCAGCGCAACGCGGCGTAACAAAGCCCGGCCTCCAGAAGTCAATTCTTTCTCACGGCCAACAGCAGGCACGGTTATCTGAATCCGGTCGCGGGCCTCACCTAGGTCGACTCGGCCTCAAATGAGTACCTGGTACGGCGTGCGCAACATCGGTGCCGGGGAAGCAAAGGCGGCCGGGCACGGTGCTGGCCACCCATCCCCTTCGTGTGAAGTTTCCGGCCCTGCATAGGTACTCGCTAGCAACACTTGCCCCAACAGTCTGTTAAAAAAAATATAAACATCTACACGGGGGATCTTTGTCTTTGTAAACGTTAGGCATCGACGGCTGTGGGTTATTCGTCATGCTTTCGGGGGTTATAACTCTTTGCTCACAATCGTGAAAAACGCTTCACGATGAGCGGGCCCGGGTAAAGCTGCACCGCTGATTAATTTTATTATTATTGTTTATATCCACGTGACTTTCCCGAAAGAACCAAAGCATATGGTCGTAGCCAGTTCCTCCGTTCAACTTGGCCTCCCTTGTGACCACCATGCTCTCTACCTAAAGTCATCGTTCACCACTTCGAGACTTTCCAGCTGGTGCAGACACAATCGGAGGCCTGATTGATGATGCCTGGGTGCGGTCGAGGGACGGCTCCCGGATTGGCCCACCAAAGTGTACGCACGCTGACAATGCGATGATTGTTGCTCCACTATCTTGAGAATGCGTTGGAGGCTCGACTGCTAAACTTGCTGTGTGGTTACAAGTACAGAGCACCTCTCTGGGTGTTTTATGTAATCAAATACTCCACCCCCTCAACGCCAGAATGAGTTATGGAGCAAATCTTGACTTCAAGCTTTCGTGGGTCTTTCGGTAAGGTAACTTTACCGAAAGTCCCAACGAGTTATGGAGCAGTTGTGGAGAGGGGTGGAGATGTTTCCAAACCGGTCAGTTCGGGTTCGACAGCGGAGGGTCTCACTCTGCACGAGTTGAGCGGAATCGTCGTTTCTTCAGCGGCACGTGGCACGGCTGGTGTGCCTCTGCCAGTCATCTCAGTCAACCCAGGGCACCTACAGGGTCTGCCCCGTGACCTGCTGCCAGCATCGAGCCTTCGACACTTCACGTGGCCTCACAGCGCACCTTGCCTCGCATTGGTAGTGGGGGAGTGGTTGTCTAGCGGTTAGCGCGCTACGCTACGAACCCGGCTACCCGTATTCGAAACCGCTCACTGCCAACACCAGTGACGATTATCTTAACCGGTTCTGGACCTCCACTAGGTGCGATGTGTACTTAGTGCGGTGTGTAAACATCGCCACTAAGGAGACAAAGGCGGCCGGGGGTGGTGCTGGTCACCCAACCCCCTCATGTGCCATGCCGGCCTTTATAGGTGCTCGCTAACAGCACTTGCCCCAACAACCTGTTGAAGGCTATACGGGGGATCTTTGTCTTTGGTACAGTGGCGCGTATGCGTGCCGTGCTTCTTGCAGATCGCTTTGTGGTATAGACTGCGGTTCGTGCAATTTCTAACTGGGGCCTTTATTCATTATCTTGTGCTGTTTATCAGCCTATCGATTTTAACTGATACTTGATGGCCACCCTTTCAATCAGGAGCCACAGAACTTGGGGCCGCGGGAATTCGCTCGTTTCTTTTTTTTACTCGCACAAGAGACAGGAGCCGTGAGATGATAGGAGAGAGCGCGCGATGTAGATGCGACAGAGGTCGTAAATTGAGAGAGACGTAGGCAAGAGGCAGAGGTGGGGTGGGATGAGAGGAGAGAGATGCAGACGAGATATAGATGATAACTATTTATTAGCTTATTCGGCAAATTGTATATTTTTTGTAATGCTCATTGTATCTTAATCAACGACAGAAATGTGTTTCCATCACTCACGCGCTCTTTGTAGATCATTCCAGAGTCCTCTGTTTGAGCATCGTCGGACTCGGTGCGCTCTGCCGAGTCTGTGAATGCCCACTCTCCTCCTTACCTTGCACCGCCACTGCCAACGGGAGCCACGTGACCCCTAAGTCCACGGCTCTCGTTCGTGTGGCTACAGTCACGGCTAATCTGCTGTCGTGGACTTGCCAATGCGACGCATTAATCCACTGGGATTTTGGGGGAGGCGGGGAGGGTGATATTTGGGGTTCCTGCCTCTGTGCGAGTTCGCTCGATCAGGGAGCAATGGTGGCTGTAATTTGCGAGATATTTACGCCGCGTGAGAAGTATTTTATGTGTAACAGCAAAGTTGCGTTTCTCATTTTGTTTTTTTTTATTTCGTGGAAGGAAACTCCTCCTTGTTCTCGCTTGCGTGCGAGATGGATGTGGGGGAGCGGTGGTGCAGCGGTTAGCACGCTGCACAAAACCAGTGCGTAGCTCCAATTCCATTGCTATTCATCACCGGTGATGAATAGCATGATGAATAGATGAACGGGTACTGAGCCTCCCCTAGGTCAACTCGGCCTTAATTGAGTACCTGGTGAGTGGGTGGGTGGGGGGAGCATGGTAGACTCGTGCAGACCGAGCATCGCAACTAGCATCGTCTACGGCAGTGGGTACTCTTCGTCTTATTAACCTGGTGTGCACGTTACACCCCATAGGGGTGCGTGATGCCCTTTCGGGGGGTGCGAGACACGGCCAGATTTATGTTTCTAGAAGGTAAATAATCCTAAACACAAATTAAGCACGGGCACGTTAAGTAACAACTGACTTTGTTTCATCAAACCCCTGTGTATTTATTAACATTATAAAACATTTTACGATAGGGAACCGAAGGGCTTGCAAGCCTGCAGTAAAGGTTAGGGCGGTTAAACATTCTTTTCACGTTGTTTAACATTGACCGCATCACGCCCCGTGTCTCTTCCCCCCGCCCCCCCCCCCGAGTAGCTGTACGCCTCCACATTCACTAACCCTGCCCGCATCGTCAAGGCCAGCAGGCCCCATGTGACCCTCCTCCCCCACCACCACCGCCACCACCACCGCCACCACCACCGCCACCGCCACCACCACCGCCACCACCACGTCCCGTGAAGAGAGAAAGCGAGCCGAGCGAGCGCGAAGGAGAAGTGCCAAGTTCCTCCCTTGCGCAGGGCCTCCTCATTCACGCGCCCTCGTTCGCACCCCCCGCCCGCTCTCTCCACTACGCTGCTGGGTCGGGGAGGACAGGGGGACGAGGTGGGATGGGCTCCCAGTGGCCCGGCGATGAAAACTTAATGTGGTCGGCGATAATTGTCCGACACGGCCAGCCCCGCCGCCCACGCGGGGAGGCGGGTGTGGCGTTGCCCCGAGGTTCGGATGGCCAGGCCACGTGATGGTAATACGCACCTCGGTGTGCGTGTGCGTGTGTGTCGCTCCACTGCTGGATGGAGGGACCTCCACATACCTGGCGGGGGGAAGTGGTCGATGTGGTTATTTTTTGACGCGTTGTTTCCTGAGCAATAGCCTCGCGGTGTGCGCACGCGATTATTTTACCTTATATTTTAATTGTGCTTTTATCTGAGGACCTTTACAAGAGTTATGAGTGGTACAATGAGGGTAACTAAAAGTGATGCTGGGAAAAGGGATGGGGGGGGGGCTATAGGTAGGGCGGTCAGTAGGTACGGGAATTAAGGGGGTGCCTAGGGATGGAGAGGGAAGGATGGGGCCAGGGAGAAGAGGTGGGTGGACGTCTTGACGGAGGAGACAGGGAGGGTGCTCGTCACGTGGAGGGGAAATTTGTTCCAGTGCAGGGCGGGGGGTGCAAGTAGGGGCAAGTAGCGGCAACACGGGGATTGTGCACAAGGAGAGGGGGGACGGGGAGGAGGAGGAGGGAGGAGGGGGAAGGAGGGGGGAGCGAGGTAGGGTGGGGAAATTCCACGAAGATATTTAAATACCGGCGTAATTTGTAATAAATTTGGTTCGTGAATGCCCGCGATGGCCACGAGCGTTTGGCCGCGTGCCAAAGAGAGACCTAAGTGCCCGGGGAGAAAACGCGCGGCGCAATGATCCACGCCGCGTAACTGCGTCGCGACCTCCACCCACCCGACACCCCCACTGGTCTAAAAGGACGAATCGGAGTCTCAAACTCGTGCCGAGCTGCCGAGTTGCGATGGGGATTGTTGCGCTCTCGTGCTCGTTTTGTTTCAGGGCGCATTCAGAGCGCGCGCAGAGGAGGTCCCTTGTTCATTCGTATCCGTGAGAAGAGAGGGGGAGGAAAAAAACGCTGTGAATGAGACTTCTGTGTGTGTGGTGTTCTCTTAGCCGCTCGAATTCCAAATGCTGGGAGCTAATCAAAGCCCATTAATGCGGCGAGCATGAACATATACAGTACCACCGCTCGTGTATTGTGGGTTTATTGTTGGTTTTCGCGGTGAGCGTTAAAGGCTCCACGCACGCGCGCACGGATACATCGCGTCAAATTTATGCAACAGGGGGAGTCTTTGAAGTCGCAGCCTCCGTTTATACATCCACACGGAGCACATTCATTACTTGCCGCTGGTCTCGAGGAGGGGTGGCGGCTGGTGGTGGTGGGGAGCAAACTACACACAAATACTGAATACAAAATATTGTTGTTGTTGTTGTTATTGTGTTTCCCACGTTGTTTTCGGAACGAGCCTTCCCCTCTGCTGGCCACTCGAACACAGGCAGTCCTCGAGTTACGGATGTTTCTCGGTAACCTAACCCTTCCGTAACTCGGGGACTGCCTGTACTTGT